GGTTGGCGCTGCCAATTCCGGTATTTGTAGCTCCATAGGAGCTGATTCCGGAGTTAACCACGTTAATGCCGCTTGCTCCAGAATTATTGGTTATGTAATTGTCTATAATCGTGTTGCCGGAATAGACTTGACCGAAAATAGCCTGTAATTGAGCAAAAACATTTTCTCAACTTTTCTATAGTGATTAATACTGTTTATTTTAATAAAATTAAGTGCTCTCTTTATACATGTATTAATTGTTTTATTTTATTCGTTTATTTTCAACGGATCATTATCAATAACAGAATATTACTTTAACAAAGTTTCCTAAGAAGTAAAATTCGAATTGTTTCGTTGTAAACCTATTCCCGAGGATCATATTCGATCATTCCAGCGTGTTATGACTTGGGACTTGTTGTCTAATTTTGAAACCTATCGCAATTATTTTTAATTTGACAATTGAAAAATATTCACGAATATCACGCTATAACTAATTGACATAATATGCTAGCTATTGAGGTCGCAATGTTTTTCGAAAAATATTCAATTGACGATATCTTTAATTAGAATTGTCTAAGACAAGTCTTAAATGCAAATATTGGTTTCAGGTTTAGTAACTAAATTTTAATTCAGTTTCTAGTTCATTAAAATAATTGAACTATAATACTGTACATTATTTTTTATTTACCTGAACGAAGAAAGCCGAAGCGACAATAATAACTTTTTGTGCTGCCATTTTGATTTCCAAAACCGGAATATGATTGTTTTACATCAAAACAGTAGCTTTTATATGAACAGCATTACAGACACATGTGAACTATCACCATTTCAATAACCTCATTACACAGTTTTAGGTTATCAGCTTTTCTATTTCGAAACATATTGTTCTTTAAGTACGTGACAGTACCCATAATATTTTGACGTTAAATTAAGAATTAATCATTTGGTTTGATAATAAATTCTTATTACAAAATTCTAAATCATGCCGGCCGTTACAGCTATAAAAGTCAATTTCTCTTCTTATAATAATATTCAAAGGTCAACAGACATTCGAATAGCAATAATGTCTTCTTCAACTTTCTTTTTGATCTGTCTTCAGGCTTTGCTTATGCAGGTTAGATTATATTGTAAATAGTATTTGTTAACAAAAAAAATATATAAAGCTTTATACTTACGTGTTATATAAAAAATATACTGTATTAATTTACTAATTTGCAGAATGTCTACAGTCAAGTCATACCCATGAACATTGGTGGTTATTTGGGTGACACTGGCGTCGATTTTTCTGCCATTGCTGCCAGCAGTGGTTTGGCTGGACTCAGTGGATACTTGGAAAATGGTGGCCTTAATAACAACGGCCTTGCAGTAAACACACTTGGCCTTGGTGGTCTTGGTGTTAACACACTTGGCCTTGGTGGTCTTGGTGTTAATAACCTTGGGTTTGGCCTTGGTAATGCTGGTGTAACTGCAGCTGGATTGGAGAATATTGGCGTGGCTGGTCTTGGTGTTAGTAATTTTGGACTTGGTCTTGGTAATGCTGGCTTATCTGCAGCTGGATTGGGGAATCTTGGCGTGGCCAGTACTGGTGTTGGCAACATCGGACTTGGTCTAGGATTGAACAACGCTGGATTAGGGCTTGCTGGTCTCGGCGTACAAAACGTGGCTGCTACGTCCCAAGTGCCCGTCACCGGCCCGTTCACCGCTACTGGCAACGCTGAGCTCGTGGTAGGAGGTGACTTTGGCGTGGGCGGTCAAGCCGTGGTCGGTGGACAGATCCCAGTGCTCGGTGCTGTTGGCTTCTCTGGTGCGATACCCGCCAGTGGCGTCGTCTCCATTGCTGGCAACTGCGGATGCTCAACTATACCTCTGTAAAAAACAAAGAATCCATTCTTCTCTTCCCTTGAGAAATAAATAAAACACTTGCATATAGTAGTATTTGCTTTTTATTTTGTTAGCTTAATAATTTTCTTTCTAGTTCTTGTCTTGTTTCTAGATCAATGATAGATGACTTTAATCGAACTACGACAAATTGTTATAGCACTATGAAGTTTCACATCATAAACTAAATCACATTATTTATAAGAACATTTCATAGTAGTAAGTTATGGTAAAATATAAATTCTTATATAAATTATGGTAAAAAGATCTTCAAGAAGAAGAAAGTTTATTCTCTGATTCAAATATATCTGTATAATGTTTCACAAAAGAGTAAGAGTAGGAATCATCAAAACCGATCAACTACGTGTTTTAAAATTCTTTGAGGTGGTAACATCATCCCTAGATACAGTTATCACCTCTTTTTTCAGAGAGCTTAGAGTACCTTTTTTGGCAATTACGTTCACTGTCAATTATAATATAGAATCCAGCCCTTGGTGGTAACTTCCAAGAACTACTAGTCTCCATACAAATTCTAAACACGCATACTAGTGAATGCTTTAACATAAAACTGGCACTTACCACTATTTTCTTTGGTGTTGATGATTGCAACCGAAACCTGGCGTAAAAAATAATTACGTTATCTATTGCAATTCCTTTCACAGTGTTGGTGATAGCAATTTATGGAATCAAAAAATGTTAAAAGTCACAATCGCTTTATGAAGGAATGCTGATTTGAATGGAGGCTAATCAAATAGCAGGGTCATACCTACTAAAACCTAGCAATGTTCCTCTTCCCGCGCCAGCCACCCCGTTTCGGCCCACCCCTTTTACAGGGCGGGTCTCACCACAGACTGACGAAAAGGCACAGGAACTTTTGAATTTAACCCCCCTAGACAGGACAGGGGGCACGCAATGCTCGACGAGCTTGCAAACCCACTAGATCTTTAACCCTAGCCCGTCTCTTAGAAGAATTCGGGCTGAACCCTCGTGAATCCCTCATCCCGCCAGTCCAACCAAAAACCAAAAAGCCAGGCTGGTCATCACTTCACCGTTCTTTAGTCGCAACTCCGGTCACAGCGCTACCCAAGACCGGTCAAAATAATACCCACCTGCATAAACTTCAGTTACTCCATCATCAAGGAGGTTGCAACAGCGCTAAAATATCGGGAACTCATAAACTATAAGGTACATAATAACAATACCGTTTTTAGCAATAATTCAGACTGTTGAATTTTTGCTCTGGTGTCGTAAATTGCCGATATGGCTTTTGCTTGATATTCGCACAAGGACCGGACATAGGATGGAAGACAAAGCTGCATTGAAATGTGCCCGATTTGCGAAAGGACGTGGGTTCGAGTCCCATTTCATAATACCTGGGGCAACTGGAGTTTACACTTGGGTAAGTGTTTCACCCTGTGAACTGATTGTCTAATTTAATAATCTTTCACAATCCCTTTCATAGTTCGTCGTATCGCGATTGCAATCGCTATCATATGACAAATAATTTTAGCGTTAAGTTCGTGTATATATTTCGAATAGAAGGGGATTACGTAAGTTTTTAAAATTAGGCCCCTTCATCTACAATTATTAACAGCCGCCAATCAGTAATGGGCTTGCGTGGTGAGTCAAGACCAATTATTCCTATTTGATTCCATCCATAGGGAAGGCCTGCGCCCAACAGTGGGACCATTTCTAGGTTGATGATACATCGTAATTTGGTTTTCAATTGTTATCGTACCATCGTGTTTTATCCTACTTTATGGAATTACGTATAAGTAAGAAAAGAATATACGATGATGTCCCCAATCACATTAAATTTTCTTATACCTAAACTATCATTTAATGCTTCTTAAATAATAATATAGTTTTGATTCTGTCAAAACGTTTGTTTTTTTAACGTCTCCCATCTCTGAACTCTCATCAATTATGTAAATCCGTTCAGCGGTTCTGGAGAGATATCAGATAACAAAGAATATTACATACACACATTGCTGTCGGGTAAAAATATTCGAAATTCCTAGAGATTTTGTTTATATGCACGACATATTTTTTTACTAGTACATATCTAGATAATTATACATAGTATAAGATAAGATATCTTCTCATTATCTATTCCCTGATATCTTTAAAATAACACACGGATTTTAATGTCTTGTCAAAACATAGAGTGGTCAAAAATCAAGTGTTATATGTATAATACAGGACCACGCGGGCGATGCCGCTAGCGAAAAACTACTTTGATTTAAAATTGGTTCACAATTCACGGAGAAATCGGTGAACAATCAAAAGTACGTCAGGTTATACGAATATGTCATCTCAACTTTATTTTAAACCTTAATCTTTTGATAGTAAAGTTTAAGTAGAGTAAATTTTGCATATATTGGTAAGCGATAGCCGTGTGTACATCAAAAATATACATACCCTTCGAACGTGTACAAAAATGTGTTGTCTTAAAGTAAATTTTATAAAATCGAACCCTACTAATATTTTAAATACGAAAGTTTGTGAGGATGGATGTATGTATCTTTCACGAAATAAATTACTGGAAGGATTTTTATGAAATTTGGTATATGGATGCTACTGAGCGTGGGTTAACATATTCGACTACTTTTTATCTCACTAAACAGTTCCCTAAGGACCACGCGGGCGAAACCGCTGGCGACAGCTAGTATATCATTAGAATGGTTGACATTTTAACTGCATTCTCTTTCGTTTTGGTTCTTCATTTATGTTGTTATATTTTATCTGTGGGGAGATCCTGGTGACCTGACACACAGGTTTCTACTGAAACCAATTTCGGGCTCCAGTCTCTCACAAAATTAAGATACAAAATGTTTTTAAGAATCTTAAGACTCATATGTATGTACATAATTTTGTGTTGAGAGAATAAATGATTATTATTATTATATTATTATTATAATGGTGTGTGCATTATCTCTATTTCAGTAACCTCATTACATAGTTTTAGTGTATCAGTATACTTATTATTGTATACTTATTACATTATAATTATTATGTTATAGTTTAATTTCACCAAAAATTATGCAAATTACAAAGAGATAATTTGTTTGTATAAAAGTTAGCCTCTGTCAATTTTGTTTCATTCAAAAGTTAAAAGATATTGTATTAACAATATAATAGATATGACTTCATCAACTTCTTTCTTGGTCTGCCTTCAGGCTTTACTTATCCAGGTAAGATTTAAATAATATTGGTTCAAATATTAATTTTAATAATAACATAATAGTCAGTTGTGTAATCACAAAAAATTGTATTATTTTCTAAAGCGCTTTGATTATCACAAAATCATATAAAATTTTATATTTCACTATTTTACAGAATGCGTACAGTCAGATCTTAACCAACCTTGGCAACTATTTGGGCAACAATGGCGTTGAATTAGTTACTGGCGGTATTGGCGTAAACGGACTTGGAGTCAATAGTCTTGGCATCAACAACATCGGTTTCGGCGGACTTGGCACCTATAATGGTTTAGCTGTATCCGAATCAAACAACATTGGCTTAAATGGACTCGGAATTGGCAACATTGGCCTTGGTAACGCCGGTTTGGCTGTAAGTGGATTGAACAACGCTGGCTTAGGAGTAGCCGGTCTTGGATATGGCACTGGTCTCGGCGTACAAAACGTAGCTGCTACGTCCCAAGTGCCCGTCACTGGCCCGTTCACCGCGAGTGGCAACGCCGAGCTCGTAGTCGGAGGTGACTTTGGCGCCGGCGGTCAAGCCGTGGTCGGTGGTCAGATCCCAGTGCTCGGAGCTGTTGGCTTTACTGGCCAGATACCCGCCAGTGGTGTCGTATCCATCGCTGGCAACTGCGGATGCTCGAGTGTACCACTGTAAAATAGCAAATTACCCATAAATTAATGTAATAATAAAGAAAAGCTTCCTATAGTAATGAATGTCTATTCTTCGCATTTTTTAAATCATTTTTATGATGGCTTATCTAATTTAATCCACAAAAACAACTCAGGTTCAACCCCTTGTTATATCCACCCCCTACGTCTTCAAACTTTCGGCAGAAAAATCATTCATTTGGCGGACATGTAATGGATTCAACGAACTATCAAAGCGAATAAATGTTGACCTTTTTAACACTAGCGAGGCGTCGATTGAGCATGTTGTTGGTTACTTATTCTTTTTATATAAGTTGTATTTCTGATTAGTGTATTATATGAATAATAGTAGTATTATATATGTATTTATTATTAATATATCACTTCGTAAGCAGCGTAGTTATTGTGATATTATTATAATTGTAAGCGGGATTTTTTTTACTTTTATACCAAATCTATAAACGAAGACCTGTAATTGGCTGTCTGTTTTTGGAAAAAAATATCAACTTGTATTGTTAGCTGTTGGTCATCCAAGATAGTAAATAAATAAATAAATACACTTTTGTCCAAAAAAATTAATGCTCCTACATTTTACACTCGTATCTAGTAGATTACTTAGTAGTTACTTGAGAAAAGGGCGTAACTGAAGCAGATATATTTAACCAATAAACGAGAATTTGAATGAAGTAAGAAGACATTCAAATACTTGTTTATTTCTTAAAAAATATTTGCTTAAGTAATTACTTTCATCAGTCATGTCATTATTAAAAAAATATTTATTATAATAATAATAATAATAAAACAATTATGTTTATCGGTAAAACGTAGCATAGGCACATATATAATTAATATACTACGTTTTCTACAAAGCGAAGGCTATTAGCACAGCTATTAGTTCCGTGCATTACGGTTATTAAAATAATTATAAACTTTCTTGACATGATTGATGTCCCATCTCAGAATGCCAGGGACAAAGTGGATTTTTTAAATATTTTTCATTAAGGATGATTTTTAAATTGATTTATAGGTACAATTACATTTTGTGAAACTTCATTGAACATAGAAATGCAGTTTTAAGAACTCTGAATTTTGGAAAAGCAAGCTTATCTTTTAGTCGCGCTCGTTATAAAAATTTGTATCAAATTGACTGGACTGTAAATCTCTATAGAAATTTATGCATGACTTACACCAGAGCTCCTAGGCGCGATATATTATTATTGCACATAAAGCGTTCACACCGGTAAGACCCAGATGATGGATCTAAATTGCAAGTCACTATTTCCACTTCAATTTACCACTGAGGCGCGACAATCTTTGTTTATTACTACGGATCAATTCCGGGCATATGCGATGGCAGTTATTATATAAGAGTTTCAGCTAATTAATAGCTGACTTTTGTTGTTTTGACCACAAAATGGCGACAGACGTTGTTGTGGGCACTGCTTTATGGGAAGGTGATTTTGGAGTCTTACTACGCATGAAATTTTAATTAAATTATAATATATAACTGGCGGTAAGATCATTATTTATTGTTGTTAAATTTATGAACACTGCTTTTTTTATAGTTAGGACTTGTGGTATTTTAATTTATGGTTAGGTTAGTGAAAAATTTTGAAATAATATTAATATTATTCTAAAATAGTTTCATAAAGTAACTACTGTAACAATTGTTAATTAAATTATTGTTATTAATTTAATTTAGTATCTATCTATTATCTTCACACTTGATCGCTTCTGTCACTTACAGCTGTGCTGTTCTGAAACAGCCTTGAATTTATAGAGCTCAGTGCCGTCACGTCATAGAGGTTCAATAAAATAAAATCTACTTCAAAAAGTAAATAATAAATGGTTTTTACCCTTTATTTCACAGACTTTTGCTTGCTTGCTTGCTTGCAATAAATTTTTAAGAATCAGTAACCACAGCTGTCTTAACTCGGCCGAAGCATCGAAAAATATGGGTAGATGGAAAAGCATAACTATTCGCCTTATCGCATATAATACCTATATCCCTCTATTTCTTATGCCATTTTACATAGTTCATTTTACTTTGACACATTTTTAGGCAATTTTAAGGTTGTCATAAAATTCCCTAAGTCAACTAGTAATTTATATAGGTATGAACCAAGCTTGTTGCATTAAAAAGATGGTTGCATTAGAACGACCAATGTGGAAAAAAAAATTGACGACTTATTTAATTCAATTTAATAATTAATTCCAGAATTCTAATAATAAAGGCCGCCGATGCCGGAGCCGATTCCCAAGGTAGGGCCGGTTACGATTCCTGGGAAGCTTTCGATGATGTTAACATCGCCATTGCCGCAGCCGCAAGTGGCGATACCAGCGCCAGATGTAGGGAGTGCTCCTTCAAACGCCACCGCGCTTAGAAACGGCAATATACCGTTCACTAAAAGATTTCCATTAATTGCGTTCTCTGATGCTACCGCGAGATTGCTAGGACCGATGGGTGAGATGTTTTTGATGGGCAAAGGACCACTTGAACCAACATTAAGACCACCAACGTTTAAGATTACGCCGTTCAGCCCATTTCCAATAACGCCAGCACCACTGCCAATTAAACCAATACTGTTGTCAAGACCTGCTGAAACCAATCCAGCATTGCCGAGGCCAAGTCCATTAACACCAAAGTTGGTTAGACCTATTTCGCTGCCAAGACCTCCTGCAACCAAGCCAGCATTGCCCAGGCCGAATCCATTAACACCAAAGTTGGTTAAACCAATATCACTGCCAAGACCTGCAGTAACCAGGCCAGCATTGTTAAGGCCAATTCCGTTAACACCAAAGTTGGTTAGACCGAAGTCGCTGCCAAGACCTGTGGAAAGCACTCCAGTATTGCCATACCCAAGTCCATTAATACCAACGTTGGTTACACCGATACCGCTGCCAAGACCTGCACCGACCAGTCCAGCATTATTTAACCCAACTCCGTTAGCCCCAAAGTTGGGTACACCGATCCCGTTATTAATATAAGCACCATTTCCCAAGTATCCACCGAGGCCACTCAACCCGCTACTTGCAGCCACAAGATCCAGTTCGACGCCTGTGTACCCCAAATTAGATAAGTACGGGTTCTGACCGTAGACGTTCTGAAAATGGAAAAGTTGAATTCATAAGTAGTTGTTGGAATAAAACGTAAGCCAATAATATTTAGCAAATTTAAGCTGATAGAAAAATCCCAAAAATTGTTATCAATGTAAATGTAATATTAATATAATTTATAAGTCTTAGTAGTAGACAAATATCTATGAGTAACTTTATTTTGTACTACGCTGACTTAATATGGCGAAGAAGCCATCAGTTTCTCGATCATATTAAGTCAGCTTAATACACATTAAACTAAGTTATTATGACTCAATAAATCTAGATGTATTATTATTATAAATACTATTTTTATTTACCTGGACGAGGAGAGCCGAAGCAATAATAAGAACTTTTTGTGCTGCCATTTTGGTTTTCTAAACAAAACTATATTTGATATATGTCTACGGCTAGCATTTATATGAAAAGAATAATGCAAAAATATGTGCGTTATCTCTATTTAACTCACCTCTTTACACAGTTCTAGATTGCAATCTTTCGTTTCATAACGACGAATAATTGTATTACATACATTATGTTTGTATTATCGATTACATGATTTACGCAACTATATTTGATATAAATAAATCAATTATTCAACGAGTTATCATTCAAAGGCTAACAAACGTTCGAATAACAATAATGACTTCATCGACTTTCTTCTTGATCTGCGTTCAGGCTTTGCTATTCCAGGTATGTTTTTTTAGGTAGTGTAAAGGTAAGGTCAATTAGCAATGTAAAATTATTTATATAACTGTCTTTACTATGTGTAACATTAATTTGCTGATTAATTCACTCTTTGCAGAATGCCTACAGTCAAATGGTTCAATCCTTGGTGAACTACGGTAATGTTTTGGGTAACACTGGTGCCGATTTAACTCTGATTGCTGCAGATACTGGTGTAAGTGGACTCAGCGGGTACTTGAGAAATGGTGGTGTTAATAACAACGGCATTGCTGTGAACACACTTGGTCTTGGTGTTAACAACCTTGGACTTGGTTTTGGTAATGCTGGTTTAGCTGTAGCTGGAACAAACAACGTTAATAGTATTGGCTTTGGAAACACCGGTTTGGCCGTAGGTGGATTGAACAATGCTGGCTTAGGAAATGCCGGTCTCGGATATGGTGCTGGTCTCGGCGTACAAAACGTGGCTGCTACGTCCCAGGTGCCCGTCACCGGCCCGTTCACCGCTACTGGCAACGCTGAGCTCGTGGTTGGAGGTGACTTTGGCGTCGGTGGCCAAGCGGTGGTCGGCGGTCAGATCCCAGTGCTCGGTGCTGTTAGCTTTTCTGGTGCGATACCCGCCAGTGGCGTCGTCTCCATTGCTGGTAACTGTGGATGCTCCAGTGTGCCTCTGTAAATATTATATTTTTAGTAATAAAATTATAGACTTTTTAAAATGTGAATTTAATAATAAAATATATCTATTCCTATACCGTATTTTTAATGTAACTTAAAAATAGTGCATTCCACCATAGGAAAATATACATAAGTGGTAACAATTTTGCATCTATCTGTTGTAACGAATTAATTATCTATTTTTATTGGTTATTTAGTGACAAAAAATAATTTCATAATTTAAAGAATCTTTTTTCAATTTTGATTACCAAATAAATTTCTATTTTCAAAGGAAAAACATCCTTTGCTGAGATTCTTGCCGGTTATTTTCAGTTAGATTACGAACCGATGGTATAGCTTTTGATAAATTGAATAAATGTCTTATTTACCACGCAGCCTCAATAAATAAGTATTCTAAAATCTACACAACACATGGTCGTGATATATACGATGAAAATTCTCCTTTTTAAAAAATTACAGTAATTGATGTGACTTATTAATAATCAATTTCCAAATAGGCTTGTTATACTAATTGGATGTTAATTTACTCTCGGATAATACTTTAATAGGTGATGTATTCAGGGTTCTAAAACTTTAGTTTCATCTATTCTGGCAAAATTAATTAAAATTACTAATTTGTTTTAAAATTACTAATTTGTTGTTCCAAAATTTAGTTTATTTGTTGCTATACAGTTGATGGGACATCTATTTTAGAAAATAACTATCAAAATCTGGGTTAAGTCATTAATTAAACATTAATAATATTTAGATAGATAGATAAAATAGTTAATTTCCATCAGAAAAGATAAATACTAAGAAATACTAGGAGATGTCATCAATTAAAAATGTAAAGAAAATTAAATCATAATCACCATCATCGTAATAATATTTTTTTTTAATCTTGTATACATGTAAAAGCTGCGCAATATTTACAAATATATGACTAACTTTTAGCTTTCTCCTGGAATAAGAAATAACGCCGGAAGCATCTTTTTCTTTCTTATAATAATAATGCGTTCATTCAGCCTCGGGTTACTTAATTGGTTAGAGCAGTAACTCGGATTGCGGAAGGTTATAGTCACATATCTTGGACACCTGGGAATGTTAAACTTTTAAGCGAATTTCTTTTAGATATTGCTAATTTGATCGAATATAATAAAATAATGTATTTCAGGGCACCCTATATGTAGTCAATTAGCATATTTTTTTTAATTATAGCCGTACGACCTATGTATATAAAGGCCTTCATTTTTGTTATTTTTAATTTCTATAAAATGGAGGCTGCCAAAGAATATACAATGTTTAAGAGTCTAAGACCACATTATTTGAGGCTTAATAAGATAGCATTCTTATACATGGATAAAACAGCTACGAAGAATTCTATATATAACAGTGATTTTATAACCGGATTCTTCTGGATCGCAGTTATTCTCTATAATCTCCAGTATTTGATAACAACAATTCAGGTACATAATATTTTATATTATGAAGAGCTGATATGTTATACCTAGTATATGCATAATGACGATTTCTATGTACTATCAAAATCTAGATTACATATGACGACAGATAATCGTTGCTTTGAAAGCTTGATTGAATAATAATGCTAAGCAATTTCAAACGAAACAACTTTTAAACATTTTCATCGCGTTTGTATATTTTGTTTTTCAATAGTGCACGTGAAAATAAAATAAATCGATATGTTAATCGATTTCACGAGAGTCGGTCATAGGATGGGTGACTAAAATATTTATTAAGTCGAAAAATTTTTTTTTAATTTTTTTATTCAAGTTGATCCTTGTTCAACTGTTGTTCTATTAGATAAAAAAAAATCGGATAAAATTATATGCAGTACCTAAGTGATAAATTTTGCATTTAAAATAAATACTTCATTGAACATTTTCTTTAAAATAATGTATTTAAAATATTAAATTTAATCGAAAAGAACACAAACTATATTTTCACAAGAATATTATACTTACATCTAGGGGCATGGAATTGCCGCCGCCAAGTTTAGCAAAAAAGTAAAAAGTTGTGTTTACACTATTTACACAACACACTTAATTTTTATTATACAAACAAGGACAAATCTTTTGTTTAAAAATAAAAACCAAACGAATAAATTACAACTAACCAAAAAGGTTCGTTTATATAATTTGAATGCAACTTATTTGGAGAGTCTTAGTAGTTGAAAATATAAGCTCCTTAATAATACAAAAGCAAAAACAAAGTTAAATAATCTTAACAACTACTGTCCGCGGGTTTCCTTTGTTTTTATAAGCTATAGATAGTATAGCCTGTCTTTTAACAGCCTTAGAGCATGGCACAATAGAACTGACACAAATGTCAATTCATTTTTTCAGAATTTTCAAAACTTGAACGGCACTGTGGACACGTTATACCTTTCCTTGACGACGTATGCTGCATTATTCAAACAAATTGTATTTTCATTACGTATGAAACGCATTAAAGGACTTTTTGACACGGCCAATGATGGTACTAATATATTTTATAATCACAAATGGTTGAAATTTTATAGAAAATTAAATAATTACAAATGATTAAAATTAGTTCATGGCATAATATTCTAGTAAGATCTTAATACTATTATCTAAACGTACATAGTTTTCACGAAACGAATTATCAAAGGCTATATCCAATACTTAAGCATCGTTTTATATTGAGTAAACAAAATTATCAACCGTGCAAATTTCTAGTATTTCCAAAAAATACTAGAAATATGCACTTCTTCTAAAATTTAACAATGACACATTTCAAACTCATCCGTCAACGCAATTTCGTAAAAATTGCTTTACGTATCAATTAACACATACATTACTCGCATGTTGTATTTGTACCTGTCCTTATAAGGCAGAAACTTAAATATTGCTTAGATTGAATCTTTTTTATGCAGATGAATTGTTTGCTCCCAAATGCAAGGCCCATTTGGAATTGGTTGAAGAAAATGAGAAATCCATGGGAACACTGCATTCTATATACATAAGATCTGTATGGTGCTGTTGTATATTATTGAGTCTTTATCCTATTGGCAACAAAGTGTTGGGTCTAGAAGCGAAACAATTTCTCTATTTCCCCTTTGATGCAAACAAATCGCCTGCGTAAGTATCGCCGTCACCATTGATACATTGGCGTGAGTTGTCAGCATTAAATCATTTTTATAAAAAAGAAACAGGCACCCGAGTGAGTTAGATACCTAATCTAAAATGGATCAAATAAAAAAATAAATAAAATCTACTTCAAATTAAACACAAAGAAGTTTAAAATAACTGAAAATTAACTCAACAATACTTCGTAATTACTTAGACGATCAGGGCAGGTACTTAACCTACATACATTCATTTTTCGGTGCCTATTTTTAGCTGTTTAGTGTTTTTAATTTTAAGTCGGCTTTATTTTTTTTTTACATCTCCTTAACACAAGGGCTTTAGCTTAGTTTGGTGTCTGAGAATATGATTAATTTTATCTTATACCTAATTATATTCCACAAAAAATAAGCTATCACTGGTTCATTTCACTTCACAGATTTGAACTTACGTGCTTATATATTGGTATTACACTTACATTTCAAGGCTATGTCAATGCTCTCATAGACGGGACAATGGTAGCCTTTTACACGCAATGTAAAGTACAGTTGAATATGCTGAGATATGATCTGGAACACCTGGCGGATCCAGATCATGAGGATGATTTACGCAAGATTGATAACCGAACAATAAATAAGACTAATTTTCTTGATGAAGAAGTGGTAAAGCAAAAACTCGTTCTTTGTGTAAAACACCATCAAAAAATTGTTTGGTAAGTATAAACACGGGTACCTATCAAAAGGTTAACGAAGAAAATAGTAAATTAGAGTGGGCACTTTCTAACATGTGTACTAGTTACAGAGTTTGCAGCCATCTATCTACCTATATCTTGCGAATAAATTGCGAATAAACGCGTATTAAAAAAACTTCCAGAAGATGATTACAAAATGTTATTTTTATTTTCCACAATCAAAATAAAATCAGAAAAGAAAAAAAAACACCTGTCAAAAAGAAAAAGAACATACCACCGTAATGACGTGCCTAGTGTTGCCCCTCTAGATTTTATTTATTTTTTAACAATAGTAAAATAGTTTATTTTTTTACACGCGAATCTTGTGAAGACACAAAATGTTTCTGGAACTAAAACAGCCAACTTTATACTTATTATATTATAAATCTATAGAGGCATCTAAATTCAATTTAAAAAAAATGAACCCTCTAATCCTAAGAAATCTATTGATGCCTGCCAAGTGTGGCAGGGAGAGAAAGACACAGTCTAGCCACCATATTCAATGGCTCTGCAAGGCATTGCTTCACATACCTATGTAGTATTTGTTTATTCACTAGTTTAATCGACTTGGGCGTAACTCACTTCTACAAGTGGAGCCGGGGTTAAAAAAAAATCTGAAGGACTTTTTTGAAATCTTGGTTAAAATTAAATTTTAAAAAAAATAAGGTACATATAGTGGATAAATTACATTAAGCGATTTTCCTTTCATTTGTTACAATATTTCCCCCATAACTCCAGAAAATTTTGAAGTATTACCTAAAATAAACCAGAGGACACTACTTCACAAAAACATACAACCTTTCAAATAATATATATTCCTCGCCTAACATACTATCCTTTCATTCTATTTAGAGTGGAGTTCACATTCAATGATTACCACTCTAGAAGTGTGATCCCATATGACTAAAAGCTTATTTAAGGAGTTATCAACCGCTCAGACCTAAGGCTTATTTAACGAGTAGTCAGCCGCTCAAAAAGTATTGAATACTATACTTATAGTACTTACAAGATTACATAGTCTTCTACCTACCTACATAGGTAGCCTCGGGTAAAGGTAGATATAGGTAAAGACAAAGCCTTTAACCAACGTAGTAATAAGAGCAGAACGCCCTAAAATAATAATAAAAAAAAACACTATAAATAATATGAATAAAATAAAAAGAATTTGGTGCACATAAGTAGGGAAAA